AGAGAAGAAAAGAGGAGGAAAAGAATCTCATGTTTAACCAAACAATGGAAAGAGAGGAAGGGATTTTTATTCACATTTATCTCTTTATCCCTCTGAAACTCTATTAAAAAGGGTGTAAAGAAATCGGAAAGTTCATAACCTGCAATCACAAAGAGAACAGAAAAGGAGATAATGGCAGACAGGATGTGAACCAAATGTCAGTGGGTGGGAAGTTTGAGGAAGAATGACAACTTGCCTTACAGACTAGACAAAGAAGGAACCTAAGCCTAGTGTGAGAAGCGTCGCAGTGTGTGCTGACACTTGTGAAAGGTTTGAAGGAAACAAGCACCAATTATTTGTGAGTAATTGAGAAACGTGCCGTTGCCCTCATGGGTGCACGTGCGTGTGTCACGGGCACTGACGGAGGGCGCTGAAATAGGAGGACTGAGTGAGATCATTTATAATTTAAGAGCACCTATGTTCTTGCAATTCATTCTAACAAGAAATGATTATTTTCTAAACACAGCAAAAAGTGGAAGCTGTCTTCTATGAACTGATGACAAACAGCACATTAAAAATTCTCTCAGATCTTATGTATGACTAAGCTTTTTGAGTTTTACTTACCAGTTAGCCTTTCTCTTCTTGAAAATGTTTAAATTTTTTTACTTCCTCCCTCTAATCCTTTCCAACCACTGATCTTTTTACTGTCTTTATAGTTTTACTTTCTCCGGATTGTTATATAGTTGGAATCATACGGCATGTAGCCTTTTCAGAATTGTTTTGTTCACTTAAAAATATACATTTAGGGTTCTTCCATGTCTTTTCATGGCTTGATAGCTCATTTCCTTTTAGCACCTAATAATATTCCATTGTTTGGATGTGTCACTGTTTATCCTTTAGCTGCTTCCAAGTTTTAACAAATATGAATAAGGTTGCTATAAATATTTGTGTGAATGCTTTTGTGTAGACATAAGTTTTCAACTTATTTGATTATGTAAACACCAAGGATTATAACCTCTAGATCTTATGGTAAGAGTGTATTTAGTTGGGTAAGAAACTGCCACACATGTACCATTTTGCATTCCCATCAGCCACAAATGAGATTTCCTGTTGCTTCACATCCTTGCCAGTGTTAAAATAAAAAACAAACAGAGCAGCCTCGAAAGTTCCCTAAGCAGACAAAACCGCTGGACATCGTAAGCAAAACTTGAAGTATTTCCCAAGCTTGATATGAGATAAACAGTGATCGATTCCGTATCATTTAAGAAAATTCTAATATTAGAACCAATTACTTTGAAGAATAAGCTGTCATTGCATCCTTTTTATAGAAGCTGCTTTATAGCCACATACCCCGGAGCCACATTCCACGTTTTGATTTGAGTGTCCCGGTTCAAGAACTTTTCAGTGTGTGTCCAATAACCTTTTATTAGCTATCACTTTGCTGATTCACTGGTTTTACTTGGGCTAATTCTGAACTTTTGACACCAGCATTTGCTGTTGTTAGTGTTTTAGATTTTGGCCATTCTACTGGGGGTGCAGTGATACCTCATTTTTAAAAATTCAGTTTTGTTGTATTGTGTAAAGAACACTTGACATGAGATACAGCCTCCTAACAACATTTTAAGTGTACAGTAAAATATTGTTGGCTATAGGTACAGTGTTGCACAGCAGATCTCTAGAGCTTTCGTCTTGCTTAAATGAGTCAGTGCCGGTTAATTAGTAACCCTTTATTACCCACTCCCCACACCCCATGGAAACCTCCATTCTACTCTTTGATTCTGTGAATTTAACTATTTTAAATACCTCATTTTCTTGAGCCATGTTGTTGGATATTTAAGTTGTTTCCACATCTTGGCTATTGTGAACAGTGCTACAGTAAGTATAAGAGTGTTAATGATCTCTTTGAGATCCTGATTTCAATCTTCGGACAAATATCCAGGAGTGAGATTACTAGAACACATGGTAGTTCTATTTTAAATGATTTGAAGAACCTGTATACTGTTTTCCACAGCAGCTATACTATTTAGCATTCCCACTAACAGTGTGTGCAAAAGTTTTGATCTCTGCACATGCTTGATAACACTTTTTGTCTTTTGTGTTTTTGGTAATAGCCATCAAAAATCTTTTGAGGTATAAAACATGGCTGATACTAAAATGTATTGTAAATGTACTGGTGAATACATTGAGAATAATCATTAAAAAGAAGTACAAATTAAACATATTTAAAGTATGTGCTTTTTTCTGCCATCTTTGTTATGGCCAGTACCAACATTTTAAGAATTAAAATATTTAATGCAATGCTCCATTTTCATATGATTTCATGACTGTGAGGTGATATCTCGTTGTGGCTTTGATTTGCAAGTCCCTCATTAGTGACACTGAGCATTTTCCCACATACTTATTGGCCATTTGTATGCCTTCTTTGGAGAAATGTTTATTCTAGTCTTTAGCCCATTTTTAAAATCACTTTATTAGTTTTGTTTTGTGTTTTACTACTACTAATTTGTAGGAAGTCCTTATATATTTTGGATGTTAAGCCCTTATCATATATGTGGTTTGCAAACATTTTCTTACGTTCCATAGGTTGCTTTAAGGCTGTTGATCGTTTGCTTTGCTGTGCAGAAACTTTGTAGTTTGATATAGTCTCACTTGTTAGTTTTTGCTTTCGTTCCCTGTGATTTTGGTGTCATGTCCGTGATCACCGCTAAAATCAATACCAAGACTTTTCTTCTGTGTTTTCTTTTCAACAGATTTTGTTGACTTTTTCTATTCTTTTGCTATTTTCTACTCTAATCTTTGTTATTTCCATCCTTTTGAATTTACTTTGTTTTTGTCTAGTTCCCGAAGAGGGTAAATCAGGTTGTTTATTGGAGATCTTTTGTTAGCGTAATTAGACCTCCCTGCACAATTCCTAGGGGACTGTTGAATACAAAGGTAGAGTTTTATTTAGGAAACAATGGATATAAAAGATAGATTGTTAAAATGTTTAAGATGTTTTATGTGTATGGGTCTGACTCCAGATTGCTTTTTGTAGTATATTTCATTTAACAGAACATTAAAATTGACACTCTTAGTAAATAAATGTGAAGTTCATTAATAAGACAATTGAAACCTTCTTTGATAGAACTTTTCACTAATTTCTTGTGCACAGAATGTTTATATACAATTTAGATGGTGAGTGCTTCCCACATTATTTTAATGTTTTTAGAGGAATTAGAAATGTGCATTCATAAGCAGTTCATAAGATATTCTAAATTGTAAAAGAATGGAGATTTGAGGGACCACTGATAAAAATGTAAATGCTGTTATTAACCCTTGGCTTCTTTATCCTCTGCTGCAGCAAAGTGTGAAATTTCCTTAGTTTTAGTTTTATCATTTTCTATAAATCTTACTTTCTTCTAGGTGTTTCATCTCTGCCAGTTTTCCTTTTTTTTTTTGTTTTCTTTCCTGTCTGAACATTAATTTTTAACCTCTCCTTCTTTTTCTTTTTTATTTTGTAGATCTCACTTCTGTAGGCATTAACTTATTTCACTTCTTGGTGTTCTCTTGAACTTAGATTGTCCCTTCAGGAGATTTGACATTTTTTTGGGTGTGGTTGGTTTCGTAGGTGAGAGAGGGGGCTTTAGTCTTTGCACACAGGGGCATCAGGAACATCTCATCTTTCCTGGGAAGATGCTCAGCTTTCTTGGATGTTTTCTCTTAGATTAGTCCCTTAAGCTGTATGTAGCAGGATGTTCTATTCTGACTCACTCAAATAGTCCCTACTGATATATGTTTTGATTACTGATATACTT